TGCCCCAGCCACCCACCCTTCTTCTGTTCCTTGAACATGCCAAGCTCCTTTCTGCCCTATGGCCTTGGCACCTGGCAGGTTCTCTGTCTGGAGCTTCTTCCCCCGACTTCAGGAGCCAGGCTGGCTCCTGGACATGCAGGAGGTGTCAGCGTACATGTCACAGAGAGGCCTTTCCCACCCACCTGAGTTAATATTGGATCTCACTCCAGTTACTCTTTATTACCTGAGCCTGGTTTGTTCTTTTCATAGCACTCAACACCGTTTAAAATTATTTGATACATATATAAAGTTAGTCATACTTCTATTGATAAATATAAGAATTCTTCTATCTATGTGTCTCTATTATATATCATTGTTCATTGTTTATGGGTGTTTTGTCACTAGGGTGTGAGCCCCATAGGAGCAGGGCAGTGGGCTGGGCTGTCTTATTCCTTGCTGTATTTTTAGCTCTTGGGAAGAGTGCAGTGAGTATTTACTGAAGGCATTGAATAATTGAATGAATGAATGAGTAGTTCTGTGCTCTCCAAAGCACCAAGGATAGGGACATAGCAGGGAGGGAAGGTCAGGTAAGATCAGGGCCACTGGTGCCGTCATCAGAAGCCCAGTTCCAACCCCTTATCTCACTTCCTGAAGCAATGCAAGGGCCCAATACATATTCATTAAATACGTGAACTCATCTAACCAAGTAGGCTGTGGCATCTGCTCTGTGTGGCAATTGTGCTTATAAGCCCATTTAGAATTATCCTGGAGGAGGATCACAAATCCCAACAGCCCAGATGAAAGGGCTGCATCCTACCCTACCCTCCCACCCTTTCTCTCTTCTTCAAACCAGGGAATGTCAGTGTCCAGCTGCTGGAGGCACAGCCTGCTTGAGTCCAACTGGGTCACCCAGGGAGTTTGTGTTCAAATTTTGGAAGCATTTCCAAAACTCTCAGACATCCTTCTGATACAAAATCCATAGCTCCCCAGGACTCTGAGGGGTTGGATCTGATTATTTTTAAAAAATGTACCACAACACGAAGAAAATGCACCCTCTACCCCACCCTTGCCTGCCAACCCCCCAAGCTCTCACCTTTTACCTCCCACCTCCCATCATCCTGACTGACCATTTGATACTTTAGAGCTGCCCAGGGGCTGGAGAGAAATGGATTTTATTTTACGTCCCACAGCTGTTGCAATGCTGGGGAAACCCCACGTATTTAAAATATTAAAATGGTTTCCAGACTGACAATATTTCTTATTTAGTGTTTGAGGATTTGGAGCTTACCCAGTTGACCCATCTCTGGAAAGTAAAAGAAGAAAGTAAAAAATGAAGGCTTAATCCTATTCCTGCTGCCCCCAAGGACATTAGAGCAATTTAGGCAGAGTTTAATATTTGCTGCCCCTGCTGGTTTTCTGGACCCAATGATCTACCCAGAAAGGGGGAAACCTCAGTTCTTAGGCTGGAAAGTGCCTCCTGGGGTGAGATGGAGTGGCCTGAGAATTCATCAAACCTCTCTGCCAGTCTCTGGGCTGGCCCTCAATCCACTGCCTCCCCTCCCCACCACACACACACACACACACACACACAATCTAAAAACTTTGAAGGCAATTTCACAGTCTCTCTAGGAGTCCGCTTTCATGGTCCAATAAGCCCTTACAGTCAGGAAGTCATTTCTTGGTCTGACCTAAGGCTCTTATGCTGCATTAAACCATGTTGATCTTAAAGAGTCTGGGTTTCCTGGATGGCACCTATCTTAGGCTTTCCCGGGGCCCATGAAGGCAAATGAGCTGCCTTTAAAGGCACATTTTAGAGGAAATCTGTCTTCCACTGTCTGATGGCTGGAGCGTTCCTGCTGCTGGAGCCTTTGATGATTTCCTTGCCCGCCAAGGATGCCTGCCCCACAGCAGGGAGGCCGCCCCGAGTTCCGCAGTGGCCTGGGGTTGGTCTCTTTGGCGAGGTTTAGATGAGGCTTGCTGTGCTCTATTCCAATCCGTAACCTTCCCTGGGGGCCAGTGCTGAGAGTGCTCTTCATTTTGTTCTTTAATTGTTTTACTAACCCACTGGCTCCATCTCATTCTTCACGAAACGCTTTAGGATACCCCAGCTAGAGAAGGATATCTAATGGAGACCCTGCCACCAGGCTACACTCAACCACATTGTCTAGATTGAAGGCACTTTCCCTTATTCTAACCACTCTGACCACGACTGGTTATCCTTTTTCAGTTCTGAATGAAACTTCTAGAACTGAAAGCCCTCACACTGCAATGGACAGAAAACAGATATTTGTGAATGGAGAGATTAATGAATGAACGGGGTAGTGCCTTACCGTGTACTTGACTAGACACGCTGGCATTTTGGGTTTTCAGTTGCTTCCCTGTTTAGCAGTGGGTTTTCTGCTTCCCACTAGCTGAGATCACAAAGCACATTTAGTAAGTAGAGAAAATGCCAGTAATCCAGGACAGGGGAGACCCAGCTGGGAATCCGGGAAAGAGTTTGACCAAATTCTGGCTTCAGCACTCAGCCGTGGGCCAGGCAGAACACAGGCTGAGGAGACAAAACTGCCCCTTGTATTGGTGACATTAACTCCAAAGTGCTTTTAAAACTTAACCTCTTGGATCCAGTCAACTCTCCTGTCTTTCTTCCTCTGATCCCCCACCTCCACTTCAAGCCCAACAGAGCCAAATTAAGGAGGATAGTGTCATATTCAAAGTAGCTCTGAACTGAGTTCACTTCTCTGAAATTCCAAACAAAGATATGCCATAAATATGATGTCCGCATCTCCCTGTCCTCCTCTGACAAAGCAGCCCCCAGAACTTTGAAGCCTGGCTTCTAGAACAAAATGTAATAATATAAACTACTGAACTGGAGGGGCTGGCACTGTTTTACAAAGGCCCCAAATAGGCAGTGAGTTTGGGAATGGACTGTCCCAGGAACCAAATCTCATTCCATATGGTGAAGGAAAATTTTAACACAAGAAGCTTCTCTTTTTTAACTTTTTTTCTTTTCTTTCTTCTTTTTTGTTTTTTCGAGACTGGATCTCACTCTGTTGCCCAGGCTGGAGTGCAGTGATTCCGGCTGACTGCAGCTTCAACCTCCTGGGCTCAAGCTATCCTCCTGCCTCAGCCTCCCAAGTAGCTGGGATTAAAGGCATGCACCACCACACCCAGCTAATTTTAAATTTTTTTGTAGAGACAGGATCTCCCTATGTTGCCCAGGCTGGTCTCAAACTCCTGGGCTCAAGTGGTCCTGCCACCTCTTCCTCCCAAAGTGTTGGGATCACAGATGTGAGCCATGCCCAGCCTCTTTCAAACACTTTCTATTACCAGTCTAGTAACTCTCCTTTTCTGGCATCCTGCCCCTCCAGGCTGGAAGAGACATTACAGCCTCTTGCTCATGAGCCAGAGTGGTTGACTATTCCCTAAACCTGATGTAGGAGTACCTAGGATCTTAGTTCCCTAACACACTCAAAAAACAAATCTCTGCATCAGGCCTCAGCCATCAGACCAAGTCATATCCCCAAGTCAATAGAGTACAAACGATAACACCTGCAAATTAACAAGTCATGAAACTGAAATAATACATCTTCCTTGCTCTCTAGTTAACTAAGCTAATTAATTTTATGATTCTCCTCAGCTTTTTGCAGCTTGAAAAATAAAATAAAAAACATTTGGGTAAATCTTGAGTTTTTCTCTCTCGGAAGATGCTTTAAATGCCTTCTCTTTTTTCCCTCATCCCAAGTTCCAATCTCCCCCACAAAACGGAATGCTGCCTTTAGGATATAAAGCCTTAGCTTGAGGTTCTCATGAACTCTGAAAGGCCCTTTGTGTGTGTGTGTGTGTGTGTGTGTGTGTGTGTGTGTGTGTGTGACAGAGTCTCACTTTGTTACCCAAGCTGGAGTACAGTGGCGCGATCTCAGCTCACTGCATTCTCCTGCCTCAGCCTCCTGAGTAGCTGGGACTACAGGCACTCATCACCATACCTGGCTAATGTTTTGTGTTTTTAGTAGAGACGGGGTTTCACTGTGTTAGCCAGGATGGTGTCGATCTCCTGACCTTGTGATCTGCCTGCCTTGGCCTCCCAAGGTGCTGTGATTACAGGCGTGAGCCACCGCGCCCGGCAAGACCCTTCTTTTTAATCCCAAGGTAATCATTGAGTTCTTGGGCCTGTGGGACATTGTCTTCACTGTAGGAAGTTTTCTGCATCTGAATTTTATCTTGCTTACTGTGCTTGATGGTCCCTAGGAAAAAAGGTGCCTCAATTAACAAACTAGGATGCATATTTTAATTGTGTGTCTCATTACGTTTTCCTTTGGCCACAAGGAAAATCACTAAAACTTTTTGCTCAATTGCACTAGCTTTCCTTAAAGTTTTTGATTCTGACATCCACTAAGATGCAGCTCCTCTGAAGGCACAAGTGTCCAGTGTACCCTTTCAGCTGGACAAAAGAACTCATAGAAAAATTAAGGGTGTGAGTCTAGAGAGAAAGAGAAGCATGTCTCCAAGAAATTGTGGATTTTGTGCTTTTGGTGCCTGGAGTTGAATGGAATCAAATGCACAGAAAACCCACAAAATTTTTGAGAGAGTTTACTGTCAAAACTACCACCAGGCTTGTCTAAAAGAAAATGAAACCGTTGGAGATAAAAACAAATTTCTGGGGCCCCACCTTCTTATAGACAGGAAGCAGACTGAGAGTATGGTCATTGTCATATTCTCCGATGTGCTCTCTCGAAGTGATCAAGGCTGATGGTAAGAGAAAATCTCTCACAGGGCAGAGCCAAGAACCCACAGAAGAAAGGACTGAGTGTGGAACAGGGGCCCAACCAAGGAAAATTCTCAACTCCTAGATTAGGAGGACCTGGCCAAAAATTCCCAGGAGAACATCAGAATTGCTGCAGCCCAGCCAGTGCTGAGTGACTCTTGTTCCTTTTCTTTCCAAGTAGCAGTGTTTTTGTGATTCTACACCTGTTCCACCGTACCTGGGTACCTATGGAAAACAATTTGTCTTTTTGATTTTTTAGGTCCTTATCAAATCAAGAGGAGCCTCAGTGAGATCTGGCATGGAACATGGATTTCCAGCTCAATACCAGCGTTGGATAAGATTTTTGGAGCGTCCTAGGGATGCAGTGAGTGTATTTTGCATGTGGGAAAGAAGTGAATATTTGTGACCAAAAGGGCAAAGAGTGGCCATGGTCTGTAAATATTCACTCCCTCCTCTTCTACCTATCTCTAGGGGGCACACACACTTCCCTGTCCTTGACTTTGGGCCTTGCCATTTTACTTGTTTTTGCAAATGAGATGTTAATGGAGGGGACATGAGCAGGAGTTGAAATGTGCTTGCGCTGTAGAGCTTGCTGTCTTGCACTTCTCCCATTGCCACGAGAAAAATATGATATGAGTCCAGCAGGATGAGAGGTATTTGGAACAAAGCTGCCCCAGGTGCCCTGTAGACCTGTGGCCTGAAGCGAAGCCACCCCATGTGACCTTCAGGCAAATGGGCGAGAAATACCTCCTGTTATATGGCACTGTGCTGTTTGTGGTTGTTTGTTACGTGGTGGTGGCTGACTGAGACAACCCGCAATAGCAACCATGAGTCCCATGGCTTCTTTAAAGATAGGAAGTAAAAAAGTAAATGGCAAACAATTTGGGAGTGGGCTGATACCAACAGAAAGGAGAAATGATCATAAACTTTGGGATGAGCTGACAAAGTTCTCATGACTGCCTGGAAAACTCAGCATACCTAGTGGGTCCTGGAAAAGGTGGGAGGCTATACATACAGAAGCAAGTGTACCTCAAAGTCTCCCATGCCAGCCAAAGAAGAGGAATAAAGAGTTGGTTGAGGTTGTGGGTGAGGTGAATGGGTTTATAGACTGAGGTTGCCCAGGAATTCGCAGTGTACATATACAGTGTACATACTTAATGTTTGATATATTTATTATACAGTAATTTTCTGATAATTAAACTTCTTAATATAACTTTGTGGTAAGAGTGCTTTTCCCACATTCCAGAGATTACCAGGAGTCTGACTTTTAAAAAATCTTGTTGTATTGTATGTATTTTTAGAAAGAGGTAGAGTAAAAATAAATAGATTAACTAGGACTGCTGGAAAAGGGGGTTGGGTGGGAAAGAAAAATGCCATTCAGAAATAGACCATGAAACTAATTACCTGGATAAACCAATGTAACAAAATTTATTGTTTCAGACAGGGTCATAAACCTTAGGGGACTGGCAGGTGACACAAACAAGTGAGGTAGGCATGGTGGGGAATGTGGTGATTCGGGAGTGTGTGCCCTGTCCCAGAAGGGCAGCTATGACTGGGCTCCCTCCAATTGTTGCCATGTGGGAGTGGCATCTAGCGTTGCCAGCTCTTCTGAGGAAACAGGGCTGCCATGTTTGCTTCTGCAGGTTGTACACTGCACAGGAGTGCTCAGCCGAGAGGGTAGCTGGAGCCTAAAATTCAGTACAAGCTCCATGTACCAAGCCCTGGGCCAGGACACAGGACTCGAAGAGCAGAGGTAGGCTAGGTTTCAGCCCCTATGCACCCTCTTTAGTCTACCTTTGTGTAATACACAGTCACACAGGGTGACCTGGGATGGATGATCTTGCTTCCCATTGTGGAAGGTGAATAAGAAATACCTCTTTATCTTTGCTCCTGACAGCTCAGGCACAGGTGCCCTTTCTAGGCTCAGCCAATAGATGCTCCTTTCTAAGGCCTGGAACCTTGTGTGAGTGACAGAAGCACAGAGGTGGAGAGATTACATGGGGTAGCATCCACTGTGTTTAGGTATGTCTGAATGGTGACACATACAGCACTTCTGAGAACACTGAGCTACTATTGAACAAAACTCTGGCATGCTGATTGACCCAGTGGGTCTCCAGCTAGCCATCTCTGGATTAAGACATCCCAAGTCCAGGAAGGTGTATGAGTGTACTCACTTGTTCCCAGTAACCTTTGCATACACATAAGTTTCTCTCTCCTTCCTTCCTTCCTTCCTCCCTCCCTCCCTCCCTTCCTCCCTCCCTTCCTTCCTTCCTCTTCTCCCTCCTCCTCTTTTTCTTTTTTCTTTCTCTTTTCTCTTTCTTTCTTCTCCCTCCCATCCCCTCCTCCTCCTCCCTCCCTCCCTCCCTCCCTCCCTTCTTCCTTCCTTCTCTTCCTCCTTCTTCCTTCCTTCTTCCTTCTTCCTTCCTTCCTTCCTCGTTCTTTCCTTCCTTCTTCTTTTTTGGGAGAACAGGTCTCTCTTGTCACCAGGCTGGAAGTGCTGTGGCAGCTACTGACGCTTATTGCAACCTCAACCTCCCAGACCCAAATGACCCCCCCACCTCAGCCTCCCAAGTAGGTGGGATCACAGGTGTGCCCCACCATGCCTGATTAATTTTTTATATTTTTTGTAAAGATGGAGTCTCCCTATTTGCCCAGGCAGGTCTCATGCTCCTAAGCTGAAGTGATCCTCCTGCTTTGGCCCCCCGAAATGCTGGGATTACGGGCATGAGCCACCACACTTGGCCTTGAGATGTCCTTTCTTGGCATCATAGTGCAGGGCAGTGACAAGCTTCCTGTCTCAGAAGGTTTGGATTTGGTTCCAGTTCTACTAGAGCTTGGTCCCAGAGCTTCCTAGCTCTATGACTTTGATCATGTTTGCATCATGCTGACTCTTAATTTCCTTGTCTGTAAAATGGAAATTTGAATGCTGGTACTCCTTGCCTCTCAGGGATATTGGAAGACTCAAATCCAGTAAGATAATGCATGAGAAAGCATGTTGCAAGCCTAACACGCTATGTAAATGTAAGGTATTATTATACTGCTCAGAGACATGAGAATTCATGTTGCTGATGCTTGAACCAGAGATGGTGGGAATCTAGCATGGAGCAGGCCTATCTAATTATTTTCAAAATGCTGGAAAAGGCCTTTCCAATTCATTGCCTTCCCAGGTTACCCCTCCTGTCTGCTGCTGTAAACTTTCACTTTCCCATAACAATAAACATTTCTATTGTGCCTTACCATTATTTTATTTGACCCTCACAACATTCCTATGTGGTAAGGGTTATTCCCATTTGCTGATGAGGAAACTGAGGCTCAGGGAATTCTGGGAGATACAATTCAAGTTGAGATTTAGGTGGGAATACAGCCAAACCATATCATTCTGCCCCTGCATCCTCCAAATATCATGTCCTTACTTTTTTTTTTTTTGAGACGGGGCCTCACTCTATCGCCCTGGCTGGAGTGCAGTGGCACGATCTCGGCTCACTGCAAGCTCCGCCTCCCGGGTTCACGCTACTCTCCTGCCTCAGCCTCCCGAGTAGCTGGGACTACAGGTGCCCGTCACTATGCCTGGCTAATTTTTTGTATTTTTAGTAGAGACGGAGTTTCACCATGTTAGCCAGGATGGTCTCGATCTCCTGACCTCGTGATCTGCCCGCCTTGGCCTCCCAAAGCGCTGGGATTACAGGTGTAAGCCACTGTGCCCGGCCCATGTCCTTACATTTTAAAACCAATCAGGCCTTCACAACAGTCCCCCAAAGTCTTAACGCATTTCAGCGTTAACCCAAAAGTCCACAGTCCAAAGTCTCATCTGAGACAAGGCAAGTCCCTTCTGCCTATGAGCTTGTAATACCAAAAGCAAGCTAGTTACTTCCTAGATACAATGGGGGTATAGGAATTGAGTAAATACAGCTGTTCCAAATGGGAGACATTGGCCAAAACAAAGGGGTTATGGGGCCCATGCAAGTCTGAAATTCAGTGGGGCAGTCAAATTTTAAAGCTTCAAAATGATCTCCTTTGACTCCAGGTCTCACATCCAGGGAGATGCAAGAGGTAGGTTCCCATGGTCTTGGGCAGCTCTGCTCCTGTGGCTTTGCAGGGTACAGCCTCCGTCCTGGCTGCTTTCACAGGCTGGTGTTGAGTGTCTGCAGCTTTTCTAGGCAAGTGGTGCAAGCTGTCAGTGGATTTACGTTCTGGGGTCTGGAGGATGACGGCCTTCTTCTCACAGCTCCACTAGGCAGTGCCCCAGTAGAAAGTTTCTGTGGGGGTTCTGACCCCACATTTCCCTTCCGCACTGCCCTAGCAAGGTTCTCCTTGAGGTCCCCACCCCTGCAGCAAACTTTTGCCTGGGTATCCAGGCATTTCCGTACATTTTCTGAATTCTAGGTTAAGATTCCCAAACCTCAGTTCTTGACTTCCGTGCACCTGCAGCTCATCACCACATGGAAGCTGCCAAGGCTTGGGGCTTCCACCCTCTGAAGCCACAGCCTGAGCTGATGGTTGGCCCCTTTCAGCCATGGCTGGATGGCTAGGACACAGGGCACCAAGTCCCTAAGCTGCACACAGCACAGGAACCTTGGGCCTGGCCCACAAAACCACATTCTCCTCCTGTGCCTCTGGGCCTGTGATGGGAGGGGCTGCTGTGAAGGTCTGTGACCTGGCCTGGAGACATTTTCTCCATGGTCTTGGGGATTGACATTAGGCTCCTTGCTATTTATACAAATTTCTGGAACTGGTTTGAATTTCTTCCCAGAAAATGGGTTTTTCTTTTCTATAACATAGTCAGGCTGCAAATTTTCAAAACTTTTAAACTCTGCTTCGCTTATAAAATGGAATGCCTTTAATAGTACCCAAGTCACCTCTTGAATGCTTTGCTGTTTAGAAATTTCTTCTGCCAGATACGCTAAATCATCTTTCTCAAGTTCAAATTTTCACAAATCTCCAGGGTAGGGGCAAAATGCCACCAGTCTCTTTGCTAAAACATAACAAGAGTCACCTTTACTCCAGTTCCCAACAAGTTCCTCATCTCCATCTGAGACCACCTCAGCCTGAACCTTATTGTCCATATCATTATCAGGCTTTTGGTCAAAGCCAATCAACAAGTCTCTAGGAAGTTCCAAACTTTCCCACATTTTCCTGTCTGCTGCTGAGCCCTCCAAACTGTTCCAACCTCTGCCTGTTACCCAGTTCTAAAGTTGCTGCCACGTTTTCGGGTATCTTTTCAGCAATGCCCCACTCTACTGGTACCAATTGACTGTATTAATCAGTTTTCACGCTGCTGATAAAGACATACCCGAGACTGGGAGGAAAAAGAGGCTTGATTGGACTTACAGTTCCACATGGCTGGGGAGGCCTTAGAATCATGGCGGGGGGTGAAAGGCACTTCTTACATGGCAGCAGCAAAAGAAAATGAGGAAGAAGCAAAAGTGGAAACCCCTGATAAACCCATCAGATCTCATGAGACTTATTCACTATCACAAGAATAACACGGGAAAAAGACTGGCCTCTATGATTCAATTACCCCCTCCCCCGGGTCCCTCCCACAATACGTGGGAGTTCTGGGAGATATAATTCAAGTTGAGATTTGGATGGGGACACAGTCAAACCATATCAACTTATATTTACAAGTATAATAGTGATATAATTATTTGGGGAGAATAAAGGAGGTGAGAGTGATATAAAACAGCGAAATTTGCTTCCTGATGTTTTAAAATTAACAAATCAAGAAACAGTAAATAAAAATACTCAGAGATTTGAAATCAGCTACCAGAAGAAACAGATAAAAGAGATAAAAAGTAGTTATCTTTGGAGTATGGAACTAAGGGGGGCAAGGGATGAAGCACTTCTATACTATCTTATTTTTAACTGTGTGCATTCTTAATCTTACTTAAAAGGCAAAAGGCATGGGTTTTAGTTAAGCAATTCATATGTTATTCTAGTGGATTTGAAATCCCTCTTTGACACTTGCTAACCATGTAGGTGCCTGGCCCAGATGTGGGGAGTAGGAAATGCTAATTTCCTTTCTCACCTTCTGAGGGTTCGTTGCTGTAATCACCAGAAATGTACACTTCCTGGGCTATTTCATTCAGCCCCCAACCTTGTCCACTGAACAAGACAACTGAGTCACTACACCAAATTCTGGGATCCACTTTGTCACACCAGGCCTCCTTACACATATGACTCCAGCTCCGGACACACAATAGCACTCAGTGAATATTTGGTGAAACTGAATAAAAATGCCTGCAGAGACCAAATGCCTCATGCAGAGACCAAATGCCTAGAGAGACCCAATGCACTCTGTCTGTGAACTCTTTTGATGCTGCACAGAAACAGCACCATGCTTATTCCTTCGGCATGTGTCTGTGCAGTTTCTACTATGTCCCTGGTAAGCAAGTGAGTCATGGCCTCAGCCTTCATGGAGACAGACGTTCAGTAAGTCGGTATGTAATTACACACTGCAATAGGTGCTATGAAAGAAAAGAACTGGACTCTTAAGAAAAAATAACTTCATTGGAAGGTCAAGGGGGCCTTTTCAGAGGAAGTGACATAATGAGCTCAGGACATATGAATCTCAGAATTCAAGATTAAAAAAAGGAGTGTGGCCGGGAGCGGTGGCTCACGCCTGTAATCCTAGCACTTTGGGATGCCGAGGCGGGCAGATCATGAGGTCAAGAGATGGAGACCATCCTGGCCAACATGGTGAAATCCCGTCTCTACTAAAAATACAAAAAAAAACCACAAAAAACCTTAGCTGAGTGTAGTGATGCATGCCTGTAGTCCCAGCTACTTGGGAGGCTGAGGCAGGAGAATCACTTGAATCTGGGAAGGTGGAGGTTGCTGTGAGCTGAGATTGCACCACTGCATTCCAGCCTGGTTACAGAGCGAGACTCCGTCTCAAAAAAAAAAAAAAAAAAAAAAAGAGTGTTCTAGACAGAGAGCTGCATGTGCAAAGGTCCTGAGGTGGAAAAGCTAAATGTGCAAGAGTGGTGCTTCTCACACTTCACTGTGCACTTGGGGGCCTTATTAAAAGGCAGACTCTGTCTCAGTACTTCTGGAGTGGGGCAGAACTGAATTTCCAACCTACTCCCAGGTGATGCCGGTAGCATCATGTTTGAGGAACTGAGAGATTTATGGAGAGCATAGTGAGCAAGGAGACGGGACTGGAGGAGGCAGAGACCAAATCATGCAGGAGCTCGGGGGCCACCTCCTAAATGTCAGCAGGAGAGTCACACAGTCTGATGTAGCAATTGACAAAACGTCTCTTAAATTTTTAAAATGCTCTGTAATGTTGCTGACAATGGTGGTGGTTGAATTAGACCTACTCTTGGGAGTTTACAATCTTGGGCTTGTTCCTTGTTGCTGGAGAACCCTAAAGAGCCAAGGGGTTGCTAGAAGTATTTATACTAGAGGCTGGCAAATCACACAGCCAGGAAGTCCACGCTGTCTCTCTCCTTTCCCCTTTCGTGCCCCGCTGGACCTGCTGTTGTGTTCACAAAGGAGGTGAAACCTCAGCCCACGACTTGCCTCCTGTGTATCTTCCTAATCTTGGGCACGCTCTTAATCTGCCTTTGCCTCAGTTTCCATATCTGTAAAATAGGGATACATAAACCTCTCTGGCAGGGATGTTGGGATGATTGGAGATAATGTAGGAAAAGCATGGCCATTCAGTAAATATTAAGACGGATTATTCCTGATTTCTATTCCCAAGTGTTGAATTTAGGAAAAGCTCACAACATCTTCTGCACAAAGTTTAATGAGTTGAGACTGCCAGGACCTTTTTTTTATTTTTCTTTACGTTGAAATGTCATCCCCCAGCAAAGTTCAGGTGAAAAAGATTCCCTGGTCTTAAGAAAACCAGTAGTATCTTGGGTTAGACTGGCAAAATACAGGCCAAAAGAAAAAAAATTGTAAATTTGTTTCTTTCTTTCAGAAAGAAAAGCAAAAAAGTTTGCTTTTTCAAAGCAAATTTTTCATAGAAAACAAAAGCAAAAACAAAAACAGCTGAGCTCCACTGCTTGGGTCTCTGCTGACCTCTCCCTCTGCTGTCTGTCTGTCTGTCCATTGGCTTCTCTCTCATTTCTACTCAACAACAGGATGCCTTCCTTCTCCCTCCCCCTCCTCTCTGCTGCAAACAACCCCGGAGCCACTCTGTCTGCCCTGTGCTCTGTTTAAAGGAACAGACACCCATTTCTCACAGAAGAACTGTTAGGTAAACAATAATATATTTTTTTAAACCCAGAAAGTGGCTCAACACACTCAGCATGGACTGACTGTCTCTAGCATTCCCGGCTAGCTTCAGGACAAAGGTCTCCAGAGGAAGGATGCTTCTTTTCTTTTCTTTAAAAAGAGTAAAAGAGGACAACAGGAAACCCAGGCGAGAAGGGCCCTCAGACTTGAGGCCGGCAGACAGGAGCCTGGCCTCGGCCTAAAGAGCCCTGGGAAGCTGCTCTTGGCAGCCCTGGCCTGAGTGGCAGGAGAGGATGGCTTTCGCTCCCTGAGGCCCTGTACCTAAATGCACCTCCCAGCAGTGTGAAGTCTCCCCTAAACCCTGACTTCACTGCACCCTCCTAATGACACCGGGAGTTATACCTTAATACTCCTATTTCACAGATGGGGAAACTGAGGACCGGAAGGATGAAGAAACTTGCCCAAGGTCCCATAGAATAAAGTTCACATCAGGACTCACACCCAAGTCTAGCTGACTCCAAAGTTCATTTTGGAACCACCCACAACACGGACTTCCTGGATCCCAGACTTTTGGATGACTTGACTTCACCCCACAGCCTTTCAAGAGAGAAAAGGATCTACTTTCTAGATCTGGGACCTGGGAAAGTGGGCAGCTTTGGGTTCCTGGTGGGCCAGGAATAGGGCTGGGGTTCCCAGAGTCCTGACTCAAAACCCAAGGCTGGCCGTTTCAATAAAAGAAAAAACCAGACCGGGCGCGGTGGCTCCCACCTGTAATCCCAGCACTTTGGGAGGCCAAGGCGGATGGATCACTTGAGGTCAGGAGTTCGAGACCAGTCTGGGCAACATAGAGAAAACCCGTCTCTACTAAAAAAACAAAAACTAGCAAGGCTTGGTGGAAAGTGCCTGTAATCCCAGCTACTTGGGAGGCTGAGGCAGGAGAATCGCTTGAACCCGGGAGGCAGAGGTTGTAGTGAGCCGAGATTGTGCCGCTGCACTCCAGCCTGGGCGACAGAGCCAGAGTCCATCTCAAAAACAAAAAACGAAAAACCTAAAAAAATCAATAAAAGAAAACTCCAAAGAACAGGCTGAGGTCAGCCCCTCCGTTTCTTTGCTTGGATTTGCCTCTCTGAAGAAGCAGAAATCTTCCCTCCTGCTACCCTATGTTTTTCTGAGCTGCGTCCACAGCTGCCATCCACAGAGGCCAATGGCTGTACACACACGTTCCCATCTGTCCATAACAACAAAGAAATAATTCCCAGAAAAATACAAACACAGAATATGTTCTCAAACAAAGAAGGAAGAAAATGTTTTTGGTTTCTTTGAAACACCGCACCTATCTGCTGATGGGGATAAGTCGACTGGGAGAGACAGTGTGGGGTGCAGAGCAGAAAGCCACCGGCTTTGGGCCAAGGCAAAACTGGGTTCAAGAGCAGCTTGCTAGTGTGGGTCCGGGGGAAATCCCTTTTGTATTCTGGTGCTCGTTTCTTCATCTATCACACCTGCACCAAGAGGTTACGGAAGGTCTTCTCTGTGCCAGGCCTTCTCCAACTATCCTCACAGCAGCTTGCAGGGTGGCAGCAGGTTTATTTTGGCAGGGAGGAAACTGAGGCTATAGAGGTTTACTAGATGGCCCAAGATTGGCCTGGCTCCAAAGCGAATGCCCTTAACTACTAAGCTGAGTCAGGTATGAGCATAGAATGTGCAGGGCACAGCACAGGGGCCCAGTCAATGCCGATTAGTTTCCTTGATTCCTTGACAAATCAAATGGAATCAATTCTGAGCAAAGGGTTCTAAGTAAGGCTTTGGTGAGGATAAAGGAGGACTTGGTGTCTCAGTTGCCTTTGTCCCTAGCACCCTAATAAACTCTGTAAAGTGAGACCAGAGATGAGATTTGATCATTAGAATGGAGCTGAATGTTGTCATCTTTATTTTTCCTCCCTAAGAAGACAAGGTATTACCAGTGGAGGGTCTTGACTATGAATCATCCAGGTTCTTGGTGCGTTGAACAAGGAATTGGACAAAATGCACAAACAAAGCAACAAAAGAATGAAGCAACAAAAGCACAGATTTACTGATGTGAAAATACACTCCACAAAGTGGGAGCGGGCTCAAGCAAGCAGCTCAGCAGCACGAGTTGCAAAATCTTTAAGTACCTTTTAGAGATTTCCTATTGGTTTCACCCTGTTGGAGGCTGAAGTAGAGTTACATCCTATGCAAATGAAGACTTGGCCCATGACCAATCAGCCCTATGCAAATGAAGAATTGGCCCATGACCAATCAGAGGCTGAAGTGAAGGCTCCCTGTTTCCAGACCCTATTCTCCTGCCTCAAAGGGATATCCCAGTTAATTCCCTAGAATGGAGGAAGAGGGGACGGAAGAACAGAGCTGTAGGGAAGGGGCAGTTTTCATGCCAGACAAAGAATGTAATTGATAATGATGACAACAGGAACCGGAATGCACTGAGTGCTTACTATGGGCAGGCACTGTGCCAAGTGTTTCACTTAACAGACGTGCTTTGAGAGGGTGTGATAGCTGTTCCCCTTCCAGATCCATGCTTTGCCCTTCCTTTTACGCAAGGGAGGCTGGACCCTTACAGACCACATTAACTGGGCTAGCTTGCCCTGTGGTTTCCTTTTGGGCTTGTCCAAGGGGAGATAATATCAGGAAATCAGAGGGCGAGAAGAGAGTTTGGGGTGTTTCCCTTCTGCCCGCTCTGTGCCACAGCTCTGTGTCTCTTACAGTGATAGCTCTTAGTGGTGGGGCCCTCCCTGTCACCAGCTCTTGCCTGGTCTCTCAGACCTGGGGGAGGTAACAGCTTTACATTATCTAGTCCTTGGGTGTCTCAACATCCCACATTGGGTCCCTTAGCCCTGCTTCCACTTCCATAAACAGTTCCTTCATGAAGTTCTCTTCAAACCCACCCTACCCTGCATCTTCTGTTTCCTACAACCCACCAAGTGCTTCTTTCTCTGTTTTGCAGAGGAGGAGGCTGAGGCTCAGGGTAACAGATCTTGCCAGGGCTGCAGTGCTTGTAGAAGACATAGTGGTCTTTCCAATTTCGCTATCTCATACAAGCTGGCAGGCAGGATGGGCTTCCCCTGTGGGTGCAGGAGACTATACACTGGGCATATGGGATATACATGGCTTCCGAAACAAACTCCTGGGTCCCTGACATCAGGGCTGCAGGGAGGCCAGAGGCAGGTGAGAGTAGGTATGTGGGGTGCACGGTGGGGGTGTTGGGGAGCATGTGGTGTGGGGGCTCAGACCGGCTGGCCATGTCTTCTCACCATGACTTGTTCTAAGAACAGATCACATCACTCTGCCTGGCTGATGGATTCTGCATGAATGTGCCCAGCATCTATTTATTTCCTTCCTGTACAAAGCAGCGGGACGTCTGGGAGCAGGGAAAGTAAACAAACACCAAATTCTGCTGCCCAAAGCTATTACTGGTATTGCTCATGCTATTAAATATTTTAAATGCTTTTTCACACTTCCAAATTGTGAGTTTCCCTCTTGCTCCTCTGTCCGCACCCCCTTCCTCATCCTTGCGGCCAAGCTGGGAGACAGCTGGGCATTATCCCCTCAACCCACTTTCCAGTTTGGGGCACTGAGGTGCTGACAGAGGTAGAGCTGGCCTGGAGGGCAGGAGGTGACACGGGTAGGGGGTGTGTTGCTTCTCTGGGGGATTAGCTCCAATAGGAGCCAGTGACATCTACTCCAAGAACCACCAGCAGAGATGAGCAGTGAGTCTGGCAAGGAAAACCTAAAGCTTTGCAGGAACAAAAAGGCCAGAAAGAGGGAAGAGTGGGAGAAGCAGCATTTTTTGGAACAAATGTAATAATGCTGTATGCAGTCACCTTGCTGTCTCTGCTTGGCTACCTTATATCATTATACTCATTGTCCAGATGAGAAAACAGAGGCTTGGAAAACGTGTAGTACGTACTCAATAAATACATGTTGATGGACCAGATTAAGTAACTTTACCCAGATCATCAGTAACAAAGCCGAAGCTGAAACCCCAAAGCCCTGTGCCTGCCCCAGCACTGCTGTCTGTGCCAGAAAGAAAGAAAGAAAGAAAAAAAGAGAAAGGATGAAAGACTGAGAAAAGTAAGAGAAAGCCGAGAGCTGTGAGACAGCGCTAGGGGAGGTGCTGTAGCATTGCAGTTGAGATCATGGGCTCAGGGGATAGGCTGCTTGGGTTCACATTCCCACTCCAAGGTCAGCTGTTTGATCTTGGGCAAGTTGCTTAACTTTTCTGTGCTTCTTCATGTGTGAGTGGGGATGAGAAAGGTGCCTGTGCTGGTCCTGGGCCTATTTGCTTTGATATCCGTTCTATGCCTTTTCCTTGCTCTGCATCGAAGTGGTGGTGGTGGTGGGGGTGGGGGAGGCTGTGTTTGCAGGCTCCTGTGACATCTGGTCTCCAGCAGAGTTTTGCCAGTAGGAGGCATTGGCAGGAGGTTGGGGGGTAGAGTAAGAGAAAAACCAGAGGGTTTCTTCTCTCTCTCTCTCTGCCTTGGGCCTACTTTCTAGAAGCAGTTGCTTCTCCTTCAGGACTCTGGCTTCCGCCGGACAGGGATGCTGTGATTCCAGCTTCCGGGTGACCCCAGAGCCAAATGCCCAGCTGTGCCTAGGGGCAGGGATGGTGCCTTCTTCCTATGGCTCATCTCTGGGCCCTCTCACTATCCTTATTTGGCTTCTTTGCTCTTCTGTCACCAAGAAAGCCAATTCCGCGCACTAAGTTCCCTCTATTTTAAGGACTCAGAGCAGTTTCTATTTCCTAATTGGTGCCTCATGGGGGTTTATGTGAGAAATAAGTTAATCAAGTCCTGGGCACTCAACACATGGTGGCCTCTATTCTTGTCATTACTTAGACCCCAGTTTGTCCAGCCCAGCTGGCAGGTTCCTGAATCTTCTGCTCCTCTGTGACCTTTTCCCTGGGAGGCGGAATAGTCCACATCCACCATAGTTATGAGAGTGATGGCAGCTGCCATTTGTTCCTCCCTGCCCAAGCACCCGTGCCAGCAAATCACTGCAATGGTGGCCCCTCAGAAGAACCCTGCAAGTCAGCGAGTGTTATCCACATTTTACAGATAGGGAAGCAGGCTCAGAGCCCTTGTGTGGCTTTCTTGAGATCAGAGAGTGGGAAGGAGATTAAACCCAGGTCTGTGAGATACTAAAGCTGATGTCCTCACCGCCAGTCCCCATGGCTGCCAGGCCATGGTGGAGCCACTGTGGTCACATTGCCATAGTCAGTAGGTAAGGGTCTTGTCCCTAGGCCTTCTCTGAGGTTCTCTTTGGATGCTGCTGCCACTGGCAGTGGTGTGTGTGTGTGTGTGTGTGTGTGTGTGTGTGTGTGTGTGTTTGCACCTTCCCTGAGTCCTGCTGGAATGGATGTAATCTTTGCCACCCATCCAAGAAGACGGTGGAGGCAAAGGCTGATCTGCATCAGAGTTAAGAGTGAACAGTGTGTTCACTGGGGAGCAAATGTAAAGGCTGTGTAGACTCAGGAGCCATGATTTTGTATGTGCGTGGACTTGATAGGCCAGGGCCTGTGGTGAGGAGCAGTGGGCGCTGTGTGGAGGAGCAGGAAGAATTAAGTGATGCTCAGGAAAAAGCAGAGATGGGAGACCATTCAAGTGGAGAGCGTGGGAGAGAGCAAGAGAGAAGAGAGGTGTCTGTGCCTTCTGCAATTGAATCCTGACAGATTCTCTTGAACGCTTAAAATGAGTTTCTCTTTTACTTGACAGG